CTATCATCAGAATCTCTGCCTCCAGATGAGGCACCACTGAATCGGCCTGACTGACGGGGTCTCTTGTCTTCTCTATGACCACCCCCCTGTGGCAATACCATCTCGATCCTCCGGGCCACATTGGCCGCCTCCTGAAAAGTGATGTCACTCCCCGCCTCTCTAGCCATCTAGAGATGAATAGGCTGAATGAGTCCATCAATAAACCGTCTCACTCTCTCCCTCTCAGTGGGGAGTATGACAATAGCATGGCGAGCCAACTCAATAAAACTGGTCTCGTACTGGGTGACTGACATGGATCCCTGGTGGAGACGCTCGAACTGCCTCCAATAGGCCCCACGCTGCGTGATAGGAAGAAAATTCTCCAGAAACAACACTGAAAACCGATCCCATGTCAAGGCTGGAGACCCTGCTGGTCTAGCTAAATAGAAATCCCTCCACCAAGTCTTGGCGGATCCAGATAGGCGAAATGCAGCAAAGTCCACTCCATTGGACTCAACAATACCCATGTTCCGAAGAACCTCGTGGCAGCTGTCCAAATAATCCTGAGGATCCTCGGTTGGTGCACCGCTGAATGTAGTAGTGAAGAGCTTGGTAAACCTGTCCAATCTCCACAAAGCATCGGCAGACATAGCTGCCCCATCACCGGCCTAGGCTACCACACCCGGCTGAGCTGCTCCAACTGGCTGAACTGCTGGAGTCTGAATCGGGGGAACTTCCTGCTCCGGAGTACGAGTAGCAGGAGTCTGGGCCCCTCCTCCAGCCTGAGAGACGGCTGGTGCTACAAGAAGCAAACCTGCTCGGGTGACGCTCTCCATGAGGCCCACCAATCGGACTAGAGCATCCTGAAGAACTGGGGTAGCAATAAACCCCTCTGGGACCTGAGCTGGGCCCACCGGAACTCCTGGGGCTGGGGTCGGAACCTCCTCGTCAATGTCAACCTGAGGCTCAGCCACTGGTGCTGATGCTCAGGACTAAGCTCCGCCTCTACCTCGGCCTCTAGCACGACCTTGGCCTCGCCCTCTGCCCCTAGCAGGAGCTGTCTGGGGCTCGGACTGCTAGTCGGAAGATGAAGAAGCACGTGTTCTCGCCATCTGCGAAAGAACAGAGTAGAAATTCATTTAGCATTGAGAAACCGAACCGCACGACAAGAAAAAACAAATGTGAAACTTTTCCTAACTCGGTAGCCTCTGGGGGATAAATACAGACATCTCCGTACCGATCCCTCAGACTCTACTAAGCTTGTCCTTGAGTTGTGAGACCTATGTAACCTAGAGCTCTGATACCAACTTGTCACGACTCGGATTTCCCACCCTCGGGAGTCGTGATGGCACCTACTCATAAAAGCTAGGCAAGCTAAATTTTTAATTACTTTCCGTTTACAACATAATCCCTTTTAACAATTCATGGCAACAATATAAAAACAATGAAATTAAATAGTAGCGCAAGTCTTAATTAAAGAAACTGAATCTACATGCGGAATAGTCAATATAATCCTCTACCCAAGACTGGTGTCACAATACTCACGAACTGCTAAGAAATACTAAACACAAACGTCTGAAAGAAAACATAAGCTATTTGTCTCGAATACAATGAGGCAACAGGCTAAAAAGAGAGAATAAGGGAGACGCCGGGCTTGCGGACGCCTGCAAGGCTACCTCGGGTCTCACCGGACTGAAGGCCTGCTCCTGTACTAATGTTGCTGATGCTGCTGCTCGAAACCTAGACCTGTGCAAATAGCACAGAGTGTAGCATCAGCACAACAGACCCCATGTGCTGGTAAGTGTCTGGCCTAACCCCGGCGAGGTAGTGACGAGGCTAGGACCAGACTCCAGATAAACATGTGCAGATATATATATACAAGTAGAACGGAAAAATAGCAAGAAAATAACAATTTAAGCTGGGGAAGGGAGCATGCTTCAGGGTAACAGATAGAATCAAAATATCAGGAATAATGGTACGTACATCTACAGTTTAATTCTAACATTAATGAAAAGGTAAAACAACTTTCATATTCAACTCATCTTGTTGCAGGTGTGCAACCCGATCCCATTTCTCATTATCTCGTGGTAGGCGTACCACCCGCTCCCATTTTAATATCACTCGTGGTAGGCGTACCACCCGCTCCCATTTCAGTATCACTTGTGGTAGGCGTACCACCCGATCCCATTTCAACATCACTTGTGGTAGGCGTACCACCCGCTCCCATTTCAATATCACTTGTGGTAGGCGTACCACCCGATCCCATAAATATCACTTGTGGTAGGCGTACCACCCGATCCCATTTCAATATCACTTGTGGTAGGCGTACCACCCGCTCCCTTTACTTTCAACACAATACACAATACAATCCCGGCAAGGGAACAATCAAATTAATACTCTTCCCGGCAAGGGAACAATCAAATTAATACTCTTTCCCGGCAAGGGAACTATAACAACAAGTCAAACATCCCGACAAGGCAGAGTCAGCTATAACCAATCCCATTCAACTTCTTCCTGGCACAACTAATACCAATATTTAATCACAACGTTCATAGGATCAAACAAGGGTACACAATTATCAAATTAAGACTTACGGTCATGCTTGACACCGATGCATGGATACTCGTCACCATGCCCATACGTCGTACTCAACACAAACAAGTAGCAATTATGACTCAACTCCTAATCCCTCAAGCTAGGGTTAAACCAAACACTTATCTCGATGCTTTGAACTCAACTCAAGCCTCAACTATAGCTTTACCCCGTGATTCCACCTCCAATCCGCTCGAATCTAGCCACAATTACTCAATTACTTTACTAAACACTAAATGAATCAATTTGAATGCATAAAAATGAATTTCCCAAGTTTTTCCCAAAAATTCCAAAATTGCCCCCGGGCCCACGTGGTCAAAACCCGAAGTTCGAACCAAAACCCGGTTACCATCCCCCACAAACTCAAATATGTAATTTGATTTGAAATCGGACCTCAAATTGAGGTCTAAATCCCCAATTTTTGAAAACCCTAGGTTCTACCCAAAACCCCCTAATTTCGCCCATGAAAATCATTGATTCTAAGTAGAAAACATGTTAAATGATGTTAATGAGTGAAAGAATTAAGTAAAAATCGACTTACAAATGATTTGGGATGAAACTTATTCTTGAAAAATCGCCTAAGGAGTTGTATTTTGAAAGTGGGGTGAAAAATGGCCTAAAATTCGACTAAGTATGAAAATTGCTGGGCTGCAGATATGAGAATTGCGAACTGGAGTTCGCAATTGTGAACCCCGACCATTTGTGGGAATTGCAAAGCTGGGATCGCATTTGCGAACCCTTCCCATTTAGCCAGTTCTCGCATTTGCGAAGGGAAAAGTCGCATTTGCGACCACCCTACTTTCGCATTTGCGAACACAGGGATTGCATTTGCGATCACTGGCCAAAATCCCACAATTCGCAATTGCGATACAAAGCTCGCATTTGCGAGCTTGCAATTGCGAGATGATCTTCGCAAATGCGAAAACAACAGAGCTGAACATACTAGATTTTACAAAGTTCAAAAATGCAATCCGTGGCCTATCCAAAACTCACCCGAGCCCTCGGGCTCCCAACCAAACATATACACAACCTCAAAAATATCCTACGGACTTGTCCGTGCGATCAAATCGCCAAAATAACATCATATACACCGAATCAAGCCTCAAAACTCATGATTTCTTCCAAATTTTCATAAAACATCAAATTTCCATTTTAAGTTCGAAACACGTCAAACGACGTCCGTTTTCAACCAAACTTTACAGAAAGCGCTTAAACCATATATAAGACTTGTACTGGGTGCCGGAACCAAAATACGAGCCCGATTCCATAGTCTTTTAATTAAATTTTATTTTTATTTTCCTTAATCATTTCTAGAAAATAATTTCATACAAAAATTCATTTCTCGGGCTTGGGACCTTGGAATTCGATTTCGGGCATACGCCCAGGTCCCATATTTTCCTACGGACCCTCCGGGACCGTCAAATCACGGGTCCGGATCCGTTTACCCAAAATATTGACCGAAGTCAAATTTATTCATATTAATATCAAAATTTAGCGTTTTTCACACAGAATTCATATTTAAGCTTTCCGGCTACGCACCCGGACTGCGCACGCAAATCGAGGCAACCCTAAATGAGGTTTCAAGGCCTCGGAAGCACAGAAAGAGTAAGAAAACAAGTGATGACCCTTTGGGTCGTCACATATATTTCAAAGTATTTCAATATTTCTCGCTGTCTTTCCATGTATATCACTATATTCATTGTCTTTTTTTAATTGTATTTCAATGTATCCCGCTGTATTCTATGTATTTCATTGTATTCACTATCTTGCTAATAATTTATGTATTCAGATGTATTATATAATTTCTCTGAAGATTGCTATATTTTTGGGGTATTTTTCGGTTGAGAATCTTTTTTAAAACTGAAAATACAAAATTTGTGTGTTATAATTGAGTTTGTTGAGTTATATTAGGAGTCTATTATGTTAATTGATTCACTTTCCATTTTAAAAACAGTGTAATCCCCTTTTTCACGTCGTGAATACAGTCGAATACAATAAATCTGTCCAGCTGTAATCCCATGTTTCATTCCATGAATACAGTCGAATACACTCGAATACAACAACTGATTAGCTGGACTTCCCTGATTCACGCCTATTTTTGCTACTGTATTCATGAATACAATAGCTTAAATACATCAAATACATCTTATAACCACAGAAAAGGTATCTATAATTCGTAATATAGCAAATGATATCTATAGATGTCTAATTACTACTAAAAGATGGTGCTTTATGAAAATTTATGTCTCAAAATATATGAGTTCGAAAATGGGAACTCGCCATTTCTTGTTTGGACCATGGAGCCTCGTTGCTGTTTTAGTGTACAATACTCATAATTGGGCCTGTGACCCAAGAGAATTGGACTCAGGCCTCAATCGAGGTATTCTATACTCTATATTCCTTCAGGCCCTGTGCTAACCGTACGCCTCAACGGCAACGGTGGCGGTAGCGACAGCGACGTTGGGTTGCGCAACCATTCCCGTCGCCTCGTCATAAGAACTCCGCCGGTTTCCCGTTGCACAGCTCAGCCGTTATTCTGACCTGTCTTCCACGGGAAGCTTTTCATGGCGACCAAAACCCAAAACCTCAACGACGAAGACATTGAGGACGAATGTCTCTGTTCTGAGACCACCACGACTTGCTCTATTCTTTTGGACCTAGAAGAGACACAGTACTTGGCTCTGAATCGTCCGAATGGTTACCTGACGGGAGAATCACGAATAGAGAGAGCGTGGTCCCATTGGAAGAAGATAGGTGAGCCCAAACGTATAGTGGCACCAATGGTTGACAACTCGGAGCTGCCTTTCCGCCTTCTTTGTCGAAATTATGGTGCTGATGCTGCTTATACTCCTATGCTTCACTCCCGTCTCTTCACCGAAGATGAAAAATATCGCTCTATGGAATTTACCACCTGCAAGGTATCTACTTTTTGTTGTACTTATATGGAATTTCTTATCAAGTTCTTTCGCTCCTGTTTTGTGCATAAATTCTTCAATACTAGTATTGCATTTCAGCTAATTCTATTTCATTTTATATAGGAGGACCGTCCACTTTTCGTTCAATTCTGTGCAAACAATCCAGACATTTTGCTGGAAGCAGCTCGAAAAGTCGAGCCTTATTGTGACTATGTGGACATCAACTTTGGGTAGGCTCCTTTTTCAATGTTTCCTAATCGAGATGCCTAGATTTTTCTCATATACTATGCTCAACAACCTAGTCTAATCTTGCGCCATGTTATTGGTTCTAGTGATAATTTACCCTACCAGCTTCGTATACTCTATTTCTACCTGAAGTTTTTATTTTGATACAAAGGATAGTTGTTTGTCTAAAAACATATTGAGTATTTAATGATAATCGAAGTTGCACCAACATGAATGCAGTCACATACCTTAACATCTTGATTCCACTCTTGGAAGGAATAAAAGGTAACTATTGGAGCAACTAGGATTAATTTGTTCTTAGAGCTATTTACTCTATTGCAGACATTTCTGCTACACCTTGTCTCCAACCTAGAATGAAAAATTTGTGGTTTCAGTGTTTTTCTTTTGAACATTTATTAAAATAAGATTAGATTAAGTGGTTTGGAATGATAGAATGATTCCAGAGGGGCATTTGTACAGTTTTGACCAAACGGCTAACTAAGGGAGAGAAACAGAATAATAGAATCTGAAGCAGACACAATCGAAAGAAAGCTTAGGCCGAATGGAGGGGCTTGCAACAGGAATACGGGCATTGCTCATATTAAAAATTTCCTGCCTAAACCAATTGGGGTGATAGACACCCGCGCACTGCCAGTGGTTATCTGAACTAACGATAAACGAGGGTCTGATTGTGGGTTTTGGTTTCAAACTTTCCATTTTTTGACTCACATAAAACATTGGTGGTTTGGGTAATTACTCTATTCTTTCTCAAACTGTCTCCATACCTGCCGAAACCTAAGCTGCGCGGACTCTTTGATTTTGGTGCCGTCCCCTACCCGATACGAGACGGGGACGGGGACGGGGACGGGAGCGGGATACGTCCCGGATTCGGTCAACTGACTTCGGACACTTTGACCGGAGTCCATCGACAAATTTGGGAGAAAAATTAAGATTTTGATTTCTCAAAATAAAAAATAAAACAGATTTAGGAGAATGGAAGAATAATGTCCATCTTGGAGAATGAAAGATTGAATATTCTACAATATTCATCTAAGTTTTTCATAGAATATATCTCAAAATTTACAATTTTTTTTTATAGCTTTATTTTTTATTAGCCGAATCCCGCACCCGTATCCATATCCGGATCCACACCCCCGAATCTTAAAATTTAGATTTTGTCGAATCCAATACTCAGATTTGTCCCCGTATCGAATATCCGCACCCGAGTCCGAACAACTTAGGCCGAAACCCATTCCTAACTGTCAATTACCATGTCCAATAGAAGGCCTGGAAGAAAAACAAGAAGAGGAATTAAGATAGTTAAGCGTCCACCCAGAATCATCAAAGGGTAAGATGCAAGACTAGATCGGTTACGTTATAATTCTTACATTCTGATTCCCAACTTATATAAGTCAAAACAAAGTCTAAATTAGAGTTGGAAAACGACAGAACTAGCTCCAATACAGGACTAATATGCAGTAACTAGCTCTACATTTTTTTTCCACTTGCGTATTGAATTCATGTGCTTGCTTATGTTGTGGTGAAGGATATCGTGATGTAGAGCAGCTTTTCTCCCAGATCAAGATTTGTGGTTTTATTTTCTCTTTCTGCATTTCCTTCTATACTGTTTTATGCGCGCGACTGCAGATTTTGTGTCTATATTTCCTGGATTATCTATGCAGATTATTTCCCCTCCATCTTTGCTGTCAGCTCAGTTTGCTAAACTACTACTACTTGCTATGCAGGTGTCCCCAGCGAATTGCAAAACGTGGGAATTATGGAGCTTTCCTCATGGATAATCTCTTCCTTGTCAAGTCTCTTGTAGAAAAGTTGGCTAACAATCTTAGTGTTCCAGTATCATGCAAGATCCGAATTTTCCCCAATTTGCAAGATACACTCAGTTATGCAAAGATGTTGGAGGATGCAGGTTGTTCTCTTCTAGCAGTGCATGGACGAACAAGGGATGAAAAAGATGGGAAGAAATTCAGAGCCAATTGGGAGGCAATCAAGGCTGTCAGAAATGCTGTTAGAATTCCTGTCCTGGCCAATGGTAATATTAGGCACACTGATGATATACACAGCTGCTTGGAGAAAACTGGTGCCGATGGGGTACTTTCAGCCGAGCCCCTTCTTGAGAATCCAGCCCTCTTTGCTGGATATCAAACTGCTGAATGGGGGCTGGGCAGTGCAGGACTCAAGGAAGATGGTAAGCTAGATCAGGCTGAGTTACTGATAGAATATTTGCAATTTTGTGAGAGATATCCAGTGCCATGGAGAATTATTCGTTCCCATGTGCACAAGCTGTTGGGAGAGTGGTTTAAGATCCAGCCAAGTGTGAGAGAGGATCTTAACAAACAGTACAAACTCACCTTTGAATTTCTATATGATATAGTAAATCGATTAAGGGAACTTGGGGTGAGAATACCGCTTTATGTGAAGGATACTCAGGAGGCAATATCTGCAATTTGACTTGTAGTTCAAGTTCTGTTCTAATCTGAAAATGGAGTCTGTTATGGTAAACCAAAGGCCTTTGCTGGTTATTCTTTTTACTCCAGCTTGTGCTTGCAAAATGAAATATTGTGCACTCACTAACGTTGGTCAGTGTAGATGCAGGTTTAAATTTATCTTTGCCTTTTACCTCATCTTTGTATGATTATAGACAGACGTTTAACTTGTATCATTGAGATAACTTGCACCCATGGATTAGTGCATCTCAAATTGTATTCGGACTGCCAGTGATGTATTTATATTTGCATGTATTATCCGAAATTCGGACTGATTATTTGGGAAGTTATGCAATAGATTTACTCAGACTGATTATTTGGGAGGTTATGCAATAAGAGTTTTGATCGTACGATCAACACGTATCTTTTAGTTCTTTGCCCTTACCCTCGTTAGTTTATTTTCCACACATTGCAGTACTACTGTTTGCTTGAAAATGTTAAGCACTATGGAGACAACTTTAACCTGCTAGTTTGAAAACTTGAAAGTAGGAACACCGCTGACTGCTCTCTTTTTTAAGTTTTAACTTGTATAGGGGCCACATGGTATTTTGGCATTTGTTATCCATTTTACCAAACTCGGTCATGGTTGAGCCCAGAAAAGTGCTCGTTATTCATTACAGAAGGAAACCTCGTTTTTTTTATTGTTTCTTTTCATGGTTTCTCACGTTTCTTTGGATTTGATTTCACTTACCACTCACTTTAACATCGTTTTCATTATTTTTACATCCCATAGCTGTGAAGTGCTAGATGCACTCTGAATCAATCTAAAGTTACAGTGGTGCACTATGGCTCTTACGTGCATCCCGCATTATCTTGACGTACAGACAAAAATATCCACTAATTGGATACACTTATTAAAGTTCAGCATCCAATCCTATCTACATACTGTATACATTCAGATTTAACTGAAATCCGATCCTAATCTAGCCAACATTGGGTGGAGGTAGATTAGTTATTATCGATGACGATCTTGAAGTTCATAATACTCCATATTTCCACTGAAACTTGATGCGTTTCGTTGAGTTTATGTCAAACTAATATTTCCTCTTCGGGATAACGCAGCCTCCCCTTTGCCCTTTTTTTCTTTTCTCTATCTCCTTTTTTATTTCCTTTGGAGAAGGAATGTGAGGCAAATTCACGACATAATGTCCATTCTGTAGATTCTTATTTCCTCTCTTAACCACTTGAAGCCAACAAAAGGGAATGAAATACAGAGTACAGACTTAGCTCAAATTCTACATCAGGAAATTGGTGATGAATTTGCTGACCAAATACTTTGCATAAACAACTCCTTCAAAATTATTGGTGTCATCGGTCTTTTGTAAACATACATCCAGGGACTCTATTGCAGCATCAAAGTTGAGCTATACAGATAATAAAACACACACAATTGATCATCAGAAACTAACCGTAACACATACCATCATTCTTTTACTTTAATTATCATAATAGAAAAGGAAAGAAAGACTTAATCCTCATAAAAGTAGGCCACACAAACACGATAATTAGGAGAGTAATTGATGACCCAGTGCAAGGTTGATTCATAACTTCCGTCTAATAAGATCTATCAATAGCTAGCAGACGAGAATCGGAAGCCACAATTTGGAGAGACCCAAGTCGTTTTTACACAGATTTTCCACCACTTTACTCGACATTTTTTCACCATGTAAACCGCACTCATACACACACTATGTTGACCTTTGCACGGTTGCCTTTACTCTGTGTATTACATAATCTTTTGACACTTTTGCAGTGTCTATATTAATAGAATATTTCAACGCTAGAACTGGCAGGAATTTCTCTAGCGTTGGGTGGAACAATAGATGAACTGTTATAGCTGGTGATCCATCTTCGATTTGCGAACAATTGGTTACCCTGCTCCATCCATCTCAGATGGACATGATAAGCAATGTTGTCGGATGGTAAGTTGCTGAAAGAAATGATATTGGATGGTAAGTCAGTGTTGTTGTTCATCAAGTTCCTTTGGTTTTCCCCTTGTTATTGGTGTATCTTCTTTTCTAATGAGTGACGTCTTTTGCTTTCTGTGCTGTCCATCTATTTTTTTGGAATCAAATAATTCTCAATGGATTGCATACAAACTATGGTAAGACTTCTTATCTTTTCAATGATATCACCTGACCATCCAATATAATTTTTTTCAGTAACTTACCATGCATCGAATAATATTGTCAATCTTATCAGGTCCATCTGAGATGGATGCAGCAGGTAACCAATTGTTTGCAAATCGAAGATGGATCACCACCTATAACAGTTCATTTGTTGGTCCGTTCAACGCTAGAGCAATTCCCTTTATTATCTTACGTGATAGATCTACCGGACGTATTATACAAAACAATACCAGTTTCCGTCAATTCTAGTGTAGAAATATTTTATCGGTATAGACACTGCGAAATTGTCAAAAGATCATGTAATACAGAGCAAAGGCACTTGTGCAAAGGTCAACATAGTATGTATGAGTGCCGGTTTACATGGTAAAAAAATGGTGAGAAAAGTGGTGGCGAAATCGGTGTACAGGACTTGGGTCTCTCCAAATTGTGGCTTCCGATTCTGTGCATGTGTAATGGAAAAGTGCAGGTGTTTTATATGTATTTTTCAGGGAGGAATTGAAGGAGAGGTTCCGCGAGGTATTGTGTGTGAAGATGAGTGCAGGTGTGAGTGGAGTGATGGCCAATAAATAGTAGTGAGTCAGTGTACTTGTATGTGACCTCTGTATTAGGCGTAAATTTGAATTAAATGGTCTGCTGTTAGGCTATCGGTGAGACATGAGGCCAGCACCTAGTTCAACAAAGTTTACATGAGTTTGATCAAAACCAGGATTAGCTATAATTAACAAAGTTATTTATCTATATCGATATTTACACTAAATTATATATTAATTTTATCATTATTCGGATGTTAAAATAAAATGAGAATGCATATTAGTCAATCATGGTTTAGTCACAAAAGTTAATGCACACACGTCAAATATTTTTACTTAGATATAAACATTAAGTGCAAATAAATTTTTCTCCTATAATAGTCTTATCATTAAATTTGACAAGAAAAATATGCTTTGGCAGCAGAAAATATCAGCAAGAAATTCATGTCATGACCTGTGTTTGTTCCCTTGTGTGAAAATGAAAGGAAACTAACTGTGAGGGAGAGGGTACAGTGATCGTGAGTGTGCGCGAGATGATGTACTAGTAAAAAACAAGAGTGTACGTGAGATGCATCAAAAATGATGAGCGGTAACAAAAGATAAGAAGGAATCTTTTGCAAGGTGGCAATCTCCCATGGTATTTTTTGTTTGTTTTTCTATTTTTGTTTTTTTTCTTTTTAAAAGCAAAGTAAAAATATAAAAAATCATTTACAAACTAAATAAAAATGTGCAACTATTTTGGTGATTTCAATTTAATACAAATTGGATTAGTGCATCTCAAATTGTATTCGGATTGATTATTTGGGAAGTTTGCAAGAGAGTCACTTGTACTGATTATTTGGGAGGTTATGCAATAGAGTTTTGATCAGCACATACCTTTTAAGCTCTTTGCCCTTATCCTCATTAGTTTTTTGTGCATGTAATGCACTACTTACTGGCTGCTTGAAATATTAAGCACCCGTGTAGACAATTGTACTCTGCTAGTTTGAAAACTTGAATGCAGAAAAACTGCTCTCTTTTAAGTTTTAACTTGTTTGGCATTTGTTATCCATTTTAGGAAAATCAGTCATGGTTAAGCCCAGAAAAACGCTCGTTAGTCGTTACAGAATAAAACCTCGTTTCCTTATTGTTTCTTTTCATGGTTCGTCACGCGTATTAGGATTTGATTTTAACTTACCACTCACGTCAACACCGTCTTCATTGTTTTTCCATCCCATAGCTGTGAAGTCCTAGATGCACTCGAAATTATTCTAACGTTACAGTGGCATTATGGCTCTTACAGTAGCTGTATTTTATTATAGATCTTTCCCTCGTGTATCCCGCATTATCTTGTTGTGTTAAAGTTCAGCATCCTATCCTGTCTACATACTGTATACATTCAGATTTGACTGAAATTCGATCCTAATGTAGCCAACATTGGGTGGAGGTAGATTAGTTATTATCGATGACACGAAACGATCTGAAGTTCATAATACTCTATATGGCACTTAACCTTGAAACTTGATGCGTTTAGTTACGTTCTGAATTTGTCAAATTAATATTTCCTCTTTGAGATAAGGCAACCTTCCCTTTGCCTTTTTTTTCTTTTCCTTCTCTCTATCTCCTCTTTTTATTTTTATTTTTCCTTTGGACAGAGAATGTGACGCAAATTCACGACATAGTGTCCATTCTTGAAATTGTTATTTCCTCTCTAAACTAGTTGAAGCCAACAAAAGAAGAATGAAATGCAGAGTACAGACGCAGCTCAAATTCTAAATCAGAAAATTGGTGCTGAATTTGCTAACCAAATGCTTTACATAAACAGCTCCTTCAAAATTCTTGGTGTACTCTGTGGCAGCATTAAAGTTGAGCTATAGAGAAATAAAACGCACACCACTGATCATCAGAAACTAACCTTAACCCATACCATCATTCTTTTACTTTAATTGTAACAATAGAAAAAGAAAGAAAGACTTAAACCTCATAAAAGTAGGCGTACTCCCTAGATTTACCTTGTAAAGCCTCCCAGTGCAAGGTTACTTCATAAATTCCGTTTGATAAGACCTGTCAATAGCCAGCTGACAACAACAACTTAACCGGAGGGGGTAAAAATGATGGAAAAGTTACAAAGTAAATTATTACCTTCAACATATCTCCTATATTGCAACAAATGTGCCAGGAACTAGTAATGCTAATATCCACTTGACCGATTTCTTTCTCAGCTTAAAGCAACTCAAAATGATTAGTAGTGAAACAAAGCCAGAAATATGTTTCCTCAAAGATTCAGTCCTATAAATCAGGAAGAACTTCGCATCGTAAAACACAGGTGTAAGAGGAAGGTAAATCTAGAAAGTACGCATGCTTTAAGAACTTGGAAGCCAATGGTCCTCGGTAACTCTCAAAGAAAGTAACAGAATCCGAACAAGGAATATAATTCTTATAAGTGGCGATCCATTTTGGGTTATGGGAACAATTGTGCCCTGTTGCGTCTATTTCTGAGATGGACACTGTAATATGGCCTAATTGGCTTTACAAGAAAAGGGTGATTTTTTTCTTTATTGTAAAATCCAACTCATTCTTAATTGGCAAATAGGCATGTGCCTATAAGAAAGATGTGCTTGGCAGAGAATTATTCTTAGCCATCAAGTTTGGATAAGTGGTGGAGATCTCTTGCAAGT